TCAATTTTTCTGAGTGCCTTTTTTCATAGATTTTGGTTTCAAATCTGAGAATAATTTAGTTTATGGAGTTTGAGGAATGTTGATTGACCATTAGGATACAAAATCTCGACAAAAAAAAATTTGAAATTTCGTCGTTTTAGTAAGAAGGTACCTACCTTATGATTTAGATTTTGGAAAACTTTGAAAGGTCATAACTTTTTTTCTATTATAGATAGAAAGCTGAAACTTTCACTGAATTTTATCCCAATTAAGGGACTACAATCCCTGAAAATTTCAGCTCATTTGCTCTTATAGTTCCTGAGATAAAATTGTGTTAAGCCATTTGGGGTGATTTATCAATTTTTCAATTTTTCTGAGTGCCTTTTTTCATAGATTTTGGTTTCAAATCTGAGAATAATTTAGTTTATGGAGTTTGAGGAATGTTGATTGACCATTAGGATACAAAATCTCGACAAAAAAAAATTTGAAATTTCGTCGTTTTAGTAAGAAGGTACCTACCTTATGATTTAGATTTTGGAAAACTTTGAAAGGTCATAACTTTTTTTCTATTATAGATAGAAAGCTGAAACTTTCACTGAATTTTATCCCAATTAAGGGACTACAATCCCTGAAAATTTCAGCTCATTTGCTCTTATAGTTCCTGAGATAAAATTGTGTTAAGCCATTTGGGGTGATTTATCAATTTTTCAATTTTTCTGAGTGCCTTTTTTCATAGATTTCGGATTCAAATCTGAGAATAATTTAGTGTATGGATTTTGGGGGATGATGATTGACAATTAGGATACAAAATCTCGACAAAAAAAAAATTGAAATTTCATCGTTTTAGTAAGAAGGTACCTACCTTATGATTTAGATTTTGGAAAACTTTGAAAGGTCATAACTTTTTTTCTATTATAGATAGAAAGCTGAAACTTTCACTGAATTTTATCCCAATTAAGGGACTACAATCCCTGAAAATTTCAGCTCATTTGCTCTTATAGTTCCTGAGATAAAATTGTGTTAAGCCATTTGGGGTGATTTATCAATTTTTCAATTTTTCTGAGTGCCTTTTTTCATAGATTTCGGCTTCAAATCTGAGAATAATTTAGTGTATGGATTTTGGGGGATGATGATTGACAATTAGGATACAAAATCTCGACAAAAAAAAATTTGAAATTTCATCGTTTTAGTAAGAAGGTACCTACCTTATGATTTAGATTTTGGAAAACTTTGAAAGGTCATAACTTTTTTTCTATTATAGATAGAAAGCTGAAACTTTCACTGAATTTTATCCCAATTAAGGGACTACAATCCCTGAAAATTTCAGCTCATTTGCTCTTATAGTTCCTGAGATAAAATTGTGTTAAGCCATTTGGGGTGATTTATCAATTTTTCAATTTTTCTGAGTGCCTTTTTTCATAGATTTCGGCTTCAAATCTGAGAATAATTTAGTGTATGGATTTTGGGGGATGATGATTGACAATTAGGATACAAAATCTCGACAAAAAAAAAATTGAAATTTCATCGTTTTAGTAAGAAGGTACCTACCTTATGATTTAGATTTTGGAAAACTTTGAAAGGTCATAACTTTTTTTCTATTATAGATAGAAAGCTGAAACTTTCACTGAATTTTATCCCAATCAAGGGACTACAATCCCTGAAAACTTCAGCTCATTTGCTCTTATAGTTCCTGAGATAAAATTGTGTTAAGCCATTTGGGGTGATTTATCAATTTTTCAATTTTTCTGAGTGCCTTTTTTCATAGATTTTGGTTTCAAATCTGAGAATAATTTAGTTTATGGAGTTTGAGGAATGTTGATTGACCATTAGGATACAAAATCTCGACAAAAAAAAAAATTGAAATTTCATCGTTTTAGTAAGAAGGTACCTACCTTATGATTTAGATTTTGGAAAACTTTGAAAGGTCATAACTTTTTTTCTATTATAGATAGAAAGCTGAAACTTTCACTGAATTTTATCCCAATCAAGGGACTACAATCCCTGAAAATTTCAGCTCATTTGCTCTTATAGTTCCTGAGATAAAATTGTGTTAAGCCATTTGGGGTGATTTATCAATTTTTCAATTTTTCTGAGTGCCTTTTTTCATAGATTTTGGTTTCAAATCTGAGAATAATTTAGTTTATGGAGTTTGAGGAATGTTGATTGACCATTAGGATACAAAATCTCGACAAAAAAAAAAATTGAAATTTCATCGTTTTAGTAAGAAGGTACCTACCTTATGATTTAGATTTTGGAAAACTTTGAAAGGTCATAACTTTTTTTCTATTATAGATAGAAAGCTGAAACTTTCACTGAATTTTATCCCAATCAAGGGACTACAATCCCTGAAAATTTCAGCTCATTTGCTCTTATAGTTCCTGAGATAAAATTGTGTTAAGCCATTTGGGGTGATTTATCAATTTTTCAATTTTTCTGAGTGCCTTTTTTCATAGATTTCGGCTTCAAATCTGAGAATAATTTAGTGTATGGATTTTGGGGGATGATGATTGACAATTAGGATACAAAATCTCGACAAAAAAAAAATTGAAATTTCATCGTTTTAGTAAGAAGGTACCTACCTTATGATTTAGATTTTGGAAAACTTTGAAAGGTCATAACTTTTTTTCTATTATAGATAGAAAGCTGAAACTTTCACTGAATTTTATCCCAATTAAGGGACTACAATCCCTGAAAATTTCAGCTCATTTGCTCTTATAGTTCCTGAGATAAAATTGTGTTAAGCCATTTGGGGTGATTTATCAATTTTTCAATTTTTCTGAGTGCCTTTTTTCATAGATTTTGGTTTCAAATCTGAGAATAATTTAGTTTATGGAGTTTGAGGAATGTTGATTGACCATTAGGATACAAAATCTCGACAAAAAAAAAAATTGAAATTTCATCGTTTTAGTAAGAAGGTACCTACCTTATGATTTAGATTTTGGAAAACTTTGAAAGGTCATAACTTTTTTTCTATTATAGATAGAAAGCTGAAACTTTCACTGAATTTTATCCCAATCAAGGGACTACAATCCCTGAAAACTTCAGCTCATTTGCTCTTATAGTTCCTGAGATAAAATTGTGTTAAGCCATTTGGGGTGATTTATCAATTTTTCAATTTTTCTGAGTGCCTTTTTTCATAGATTTTGGTTTCAAATCTGAGAATAATTTAGTTTATGGAGTTTGAGGAATGTTGATTGACCATTAGGATACAAAATCTCGACAAAAAAAAATTTGAAATTTCGTCGTTTTAGTAAGAAGGTACCTACCTTATGATTTAGATTTTGGAAAACTTTGAAAGGTCATAACTTTTTTTCTATTATAGATAGAAAGCTGAAACTTTCACTGAATTTTATCCCAATCAAGGGACTACAATCCCTGAAAACTTCAGCTCATTTGCTCTTATAGTTCCTGAGATAAAATTGTGTTAAGCCATTTGGGGTGATTTATCAATTTTTCAATTTTTCTGAGTGCCTTTTTTCATAGATTTTGGTTTCAAATCTGAGAATAATTTAGTTTATGGAGTTTGAGGAATGTTGATTGACCATTAGGATACAAAATCTCGACAAAAAAAAAAAATTGAAATTTCATCGTTTTAGTAAGAAGGTACCTACCTTATGATTTAGATTTTGGAAAACTTTGAAAGGTCATAACTTTTTTTCTATTATAGATAGAAAGCTGAAACTTTCACTGAATTTTATCCCAATCAAGGGACTACAATCCCTGAAAATTTCAGCTCATTTGCTCTTATAGTTCCTGAGATAAAATTGTGTTAAGCCATTTGGGGTGATTTATCAATTTTTCAATTTTTCTGAGTGCCTTTTTTCATAGATTTTGGTTTCAAATCTGAGAATAATTTAGTTTATGGAGTTTGAGGAATGTTGATTGACCATTAGGATACAAAATCTCGACAAAAAAAAAAATTGAAATTTCATCGTTTTAGTAAGAAGGTACCTACCTTATGATTTAGATTTTGGAAAACTTTGAAAGGTCATAACTTTTTTTCTATTATAGATAGAAAGCTGAAACTTTCACTGAATTTTATCCCAATTAAGGGACTACAATCCCTGAAAATTTCAGCTCATTTGCTCTTATAGTTCCTGAGATAAAATTGTGTTAAGCCATTTGGGGTGATTTATCAATTTTTCAATTTTTCTGAGTGCCTTTTTTCATAGATTTCGGCTTCAAATCTGAGAATAATTTAGTGTATGGATTTTGGGGGATGTTGATTGACCATTAGAATACAAAATCTCGACAAAAAAAAATTTGAAATTTCATCGTTTTAGTAAGAAGGTACCTACCTTATGATTTAGATTTTGGAAAACTTTGAAAGGTCATAACTTTTTTTCTATTATAGATAGAAAGCTGAAACTTTCACTGAATTTTATCCCAATCAAGGGACTACAATCCCTGAAAATTTCAGCTCATTTGCTCTTATAGTTCCTGAGATAAAATTGTGTTAAGCAATTTGGGGTAATTTATCAATTTTTCAATTTTTCTGAGTGCCTTTTTTCATGGATTTCGGCTTCAAATCAGAGAATAATTTAGTGTATGCAGTTTGGGGGATTCCAAATTTTGTATAACAGGTTTGCAGAGAATTAAATTAACTGAAATTAGAGTTTAATTACATTGGAATCGGATGAAAATTACCGGAGCTGCGAGGTAAAAACTGTTTCAGTGTTATTTTTCGCAAATTTTCAATGTTCGATAAATTTAATTTTGAAGCTTCTCAGGTGCAAAACTGTTGGAACAAATATACAATTTTGTTCAACTAAGTAAACACAAAAACCCTACAAAAACTATTCCACAATAACTCGCAAAAACCCAATAGAAATTTTCAAAAACCCGGATTTATTAATTTTTTTTGGTATCTCTTATCAAGTGAGCAAGTGAGGGGGTCAAACCTGATAAAACTAAGTCCACTAGTTAAGTTATTTTATCACTATATTTTCATCTTTAATTTATCGCAATCAAAATAAATGAAAATATATAAAGAATTGTTAAAATTTTCCAATTTTTTCCAGATGTTCTAGTCTTCACAGTTGCCACAAACGAAACGGACGGTTTCAGACGTTACCTGGACTCGGCCAAGAAATTCGGCATCGAACCCCTAGTCCTAGGAAAAAACGAAAAATGGAAAGGGGGCGACATGCATGGCCCCGGGGGCGGCTGGAAAATCAACCTTTTGAAGACTGCTTTAGATAATTACAAAGATCCCGAAGACGATAAAATCGTCTTATTTACTGACGCTTACGATGTGATATTTTTGGGCCAAATGAGCGAAATTATAAGGAGGTTTAAAAGTACCGGAGCTAGAGTACTTTTTGGGGCGGAGCCCTATTGTTGGCCTAATGTTGAATTGGCTGTCAAATATCCTGAGGTTGATAAAGGACAAAGGTAATAGCCAATATCTAAGAGAATAAATAACTTCTAAAAAATATCAAATCTTCCAGATTCCTCAATTCTGGTATTTACATTGGATATTTACCAGAACTAAAACAAATATTAAACAGAGTTGAAATAGCTGACAACGGTGATGACCAACTATTTTTCACTGAGGCCTATTTGGACCAAGAATTCAGAAACAAAACCGGTTTGAAATTAGACCATTTAAGTGAAATATTTCAAAACATGCATGGAGTTACAGGTAAAATAAACATTTCACCTCTTTGATTATAACTAAAACATCATAATTTGCTTATAGAATCTCTTGAAATCAAAACTTTGGAAAACAAAGATGCAGGACCTGAATTATATTTCCTGAAAAATTCCGATACCGGCACTGAGCCTCTGATAATTCACGGCAACGGTTTGTCTAAACTCAACTTGAATTATCTAAGTAATTATTTGCCCAATGGGGTTTGGAATTCTCAGGATGGTTGTACAAGCTGTAAGAGCGGGCAAATTAATTTGGAGAAAATCAAAGAGGCTCAATGGCCCAGCGTTTTTATTGCGGTTTTCGTTGAGTTGAATACGCCGTTTTTGGACCAGTTTTTCCAGAAGATTTACGAGTTACATTATCCGAAGGATAAGATTCATATGTTTGTTCATAATAGTGTAAGTATTTATACGAATCTATATAGACTTAGTGCGATATCGGACAATATCTCCTTACAGGGTGATGCAAAAAAAAAAAATTAAATTACAAACTTGTTTGATACTCTAATATGCATTAGCTAAAAATATTTTTGAATATACAGGGTGCTCCGTTTATGGGGTATGTTATTTTAAATTGAACACCCTGTATGTGATTGCCTAGTTGGATTCTACGTAAAATTCTGAGCAGATTTCATGTAATATACCCTTTACCTAAGTTCAACTGTTTTCAAAATATTGACAGTTGAAAATTGACTTTTTGCAACTTTGACAGGCTGTAAAACCTAAACGGTTAATTTTAGACAAAAACCGATTTCACATTCCTATCTTAGATTTTAATGAACTGTCATTTGACATCAACTTTGAATTCAATCCATGATTAAAAATTCCAGTTAAATTTAATCTCCGGTTAAATTTAAAGTTGGTATGTAGTAGTAGTAGTAGTACACATGCTTTATTTTCCAAGAAACTCTAAATCTTATTGACAAAGCAAACTTAATTTAAAACACTTAAATCTATTCATTATTAAAATTACAAATAAAGTATCTACATATAAAAACACTCAGAGTAAAAAAAGCAAGAACAATAGAAAAACAAAAATATCTGACAAGTGATAGCTTCATATTTCTCAACAAACAGATAAAAAGCTATGATAAAAAAAGATTAGCAACTAATTTGGTTAATATGCACCCAGGTTTTTCTATATTGTCTATGGAAAGAAAGAAAGAAAGAAAGAATTTGCTTTATTGTCAGAAAATTTTACAATTTTGTGGAGAAAGCTGAAAAAATAAAAAACAAAACATACAAATGCAAAAGCACAGACAAAACCAAACACTTGAACAAATAGTTCATGGTCAAAATTTGATTAAAACTAACAAACAAACATCTAGGTCTAACTGCTTATACTGTGCGAGTAAGCATATTATAGGTACTAAAAAACAAACAATAACTTATAATAACCTATCATGATACAGGAACAAAAACAAAACCTGTGAGTAAGCTGCTCAAAATTTAGAATTAGGAAACCATAAACAACTCGCTTACTGTGTACAAGGCTCTCCTCAGTAAATACACCCTCAACGCCCTGCGAAATTCGAGAAAAGATGTAATGGACCTGATGTTAGGCGGTAGATGATTATGCATCTTTTTAGCATTATAAAGTATTGAACTTTTAACTAACTCTGAGCGCGGGATTGGCAGATAAAGATCCAACTCTGCGTTCCTCAGTGGATAATTGTGAGATGGCCTCTCTGAGATAGCTGATATTAAGTGCTTACGAATTAAGCAGACGGATTCGAAAATAAATAAAGATGGAAGAGTCAATATACTAGACTTGATAAAAAATTCCCGGCAGTGAGTTCTACTACCAAATCCCAAAGAATAACGAAGAGCTCTCTTCTGCAGTCTAAAAATGCGTTCAAATTGAGACGCACAACACGTGCCCCAGAATGGAAGGGCGTAACGCAAATGCGACTCAAAAAGAGCATAATATACCATCCTGCAAGTTGCCGAGTTAAGCTCCCTGGAAACAGATCTCAGTGCAAAACAGGCCGAACTTAATTTCTTTGCTAAGGCGTCGATATGCAGGTCCCACTTTAGAGATTTATCAACAACAAGCCCCAGGAATTTCACGGAATCAACGGCCTCCATGGTATTGTTATCCAGTACTACAGATTGGAGCGAAGCTCTGTAAGATAAAAAAAATAAAATTTCCACAGCTCCACCATTCAGTGAGATACTTGGAGCGTTTCCCCTAAATGATATAAGATTGGTTTTGCTTATGTTAAAAGTCAGGCTGTTTGCGTCACACCATTTCTTTATAATTTGTATGTCTCTATTTATTGTTTCTTCCAAAGTATCATCGCTTGTTCCACTCCACAGTATCGTGGTATCATCAGCAAATAATGTAAAGGCTCCATTTATATTGATGGAAACTAGGTCATTGATGTAAATGAGAAACAATAATGGGCCAAGCACTGAACCCTGGAACCCCAGAATCAATGGTCCGTACAGTCGATGTACCGTGACGCCCCCTAACCACCTGTCGCCTATTTGCCAGGTAGGACCCAAGCCAAGTCAAAGCACTGCCCCTTAATCCATAACGATACAGCTTTTGCAACAGTATCCCGCGATCAACGCAATCAAATGCTTTGGAAAAATCGCAGAACACTGCCGCTACCATTTCTCTTCCATTCAGATCCAGATAAAGTTCCTCAAGAAAATTAAAGATTGCATCACTAGTGCTCTTCTCACTCTGAAAACCAAATTGGTTTTTATTTAACAGGTTACGCCTTTCTAACTAAAAAAGAAGACATTCTAACCTTAACAATTTTTTCTACAATTTTTGAAAGTGTAGGAAGCATTGAGATGGGTCGAAAACAAGAGGGATCGTTAGAGTTTCCACCCTTAAAAAGAGGCATTACCAACGCTGTGCCCAAGCTATCCGGAAAAATTCCCCTGTCGAAAGAAATATTTATAATTGTAGCAAGCTCCTCAAGTACAGAGTCCGGAAGGTTAATAAATATCCTCAATGAAATGCCATCAATACCTGCTGAGTGCTTATTTTTTATTAATTTGAATATGTTTTTGATTTCATTTATGTCAGTATGGTACAGACAAAATGAATCAATTACAGATATATTCCCTAGATAAACCATAGGATTAGTATCAGAACATATATCCTTCCTCAACTTTTCGGCTATTGAACAATAGAAGTTATTAAAACTATCTGAATCTATGTCGTTCTGATAATCACCCTTACCGTGACTTCCCCTTAGATCATTCACTATATTCCAAATTTCTTTTGATTTATTTTTCGCATTACTAATTCTAACTTTATAGTGATTTTTTTTGACATTTTTTATAACTTTACGGTAAATTGATCTATATTTATTGAAGTAACTAATTACAAATTCTGAAGGATTATATTTTCTCAGTGTGTGCAAAAATCTAAGGTTTTTTGAAGAGGTTTTAATTCCCTTTGTTACCCATGACTTTTTTTCTTTTTTGTTTTATTGTTTTTAACGGAAAACTTTCTTCAAACAGGTTAACCAATTGTTTGTTAAACTCATTTAGAGGGTCAGATGAGCACTTAATCTGCTCCCAATTGATTTTTTGGCAGTCTCTTCTAAATCTGTCAAAATTGTATTTACTATAAATTCTACCCTTTCTTATACTTTTAATATTTTTGGTATTTAAACTTATTACAGATAATATTATGGCCTCATGGTCTGATAAAGCCGAAGGCACTACCTTAGTCCCGGAAGAACTCTTGTCACTAAAATTTGAACAAAAATAATCAATTAAAGTACTTGAGGTATTAGTTATACGAGTTGGATCCTGGGGTGCGATTTTCGAAACCATTCGAGTACATTTCGTACACGAAGTTTGACTGACAGCAATGTAAATTAAATGGGGAGCAGTCAAATTTCGTGTACGAAATGTACTCGAATGGTTTCGAAAATCGCACCCCTGCACCAACATTTTCAGATTAAAAGACAAAAAGATTGAAGACAGGCTCTGGGTGTGCACAGAATTTTTATCTAGATAATTAATATTAAAATCACCCGCCACCAAAAAATAACAATAAATAATTAGGAAAAAACAAATGAACAGTCTAAAATAGAGAAAAAAAAACAATATATACAGCGTGCGCCATAAAGTTGGGTACATATGGAAAAATTCTTAATTATTCCTTTTTCCGAAAAACTTTTTTTGAGGATCGTTAGGGCATGTTCGCTAACCAAAAAATCGATTATGACACATGTCATGTTATTTTTCTGATGACCAAGAAATGTGCAAAAAGGGGCATGGGTACAGTTATAGCGACACGACCGGAGGGTATTTTCTAATTTATGACCTTCAAGTGTGTATTTCGCAAAACAATCGATTCGTTTGATATCAAACTTATGTAGTTAAGTCGAATAAAGCTATTTTTGAAATAAAATTAATATTTCGATTTTTCATTTAATGATATGGGTAAAATAAGTAATTTTATTTATTTTTTCTCTGATTTGCTTCAAAATCGGCATGTGGAGTTCTTTTCGGATTCTGAACAACTTTTTCTAATAAAATTTTATGATATCTTGCCAAATTTACCCGTTTTTCGACATCAATATCAACTTTTTTCAAAATTCCCGCGAAACCGATAATCGCATGACATGTGTCATAATCGATTTTTTGGTTATCGAACATGCCCTAACGATCCCCAAAAAAAGTTTTTTGAAAAAAGGAATAATTAAGAATTTTCCCATATGTACCCATCAACTTTATGGCGCACACTGTATAAATAGTTTAAAATGAGAAATAGTACTTAGGTAATTAGTATAATATATTTGAAAGTTTTCGTAAACTCATACAGAAGGAAAACACTATCACACAATGAACAACAGAATATAACCAGGTGGGGTTCAATAGATAGCTTTTCAGAAGGTCCTTGTTTCACGAAAGGAGAAATTAAGAAATTCCTCAATAGAATAAAATGCTTGTGCAACCAGAATTTCCTTTAGTGCTTTTCGGAACTTGCCAAGATCCGACATGGACAATAGGCTATCAGGTATATATAAGCGATTATAAATCTTTAGACTGTTGTAAATAATTGATTTTTGTACCAGTGTGGTATGAGGAGTAGGAAGAGGTATAGCATTTATGTTTGTTTGTCGTGTGGTTCGAGATCTCTGGGTAGCTGGAAACAGATGAAGATTTTTATGTATTAGACTAACAGTTTCTGGAATGAACAGTGAGGGGAGAGTTAGGATTTTATGGAGTACAAATAGTGGTCTACAATGAGTTCTT